GAGGGCACAAAAGGTCTTCATCAGACCTCACCGGAGATTATTACATTAGTAAATTCATCTATCCTTCACACCTTATAATTACAGTATCAGCTAGTTACAGAGCCATTTCTAACCCGGTATTCCCGATTATGAGTCGGAAACGAAGCCAACTATACTACGAGACCCACCATCGACTCCCCCCTCCATTATGCAACATCTTTTTTCTCCGGTTTTGCAAAGGTTTTTAAAGACTTCGTGGCCGTTCACGTATGATGGAAGCGGTCTTGGAGCGCGGCCAATTATCCCGCGGGAGGCGCTGGCGTAATCCCCAGCGGCCGAGTGGTCTTGTCTTGTCAGCGGTCTTGTGTATGTGTGGTCATTGACAGCTTGTGTGACAAGGACAGTTGCGGCCAGTCGTGCCCCGGTGTACCTTGGGTGCTGCTGTGGCTGACGCTGAAGCAGTAAGCGTCACAAGACTTAGCACGTAATACGAAGTTGGTCATACAACGCGGGCAGTGGAGCACGTCTCGTCCCACATGTTCAGTCTTCCAGTGTGTGGTTAATGGACATGAAAGCTGTTAACCACATGTTTAGAAAGTTTCCATTGAGAGGACCGGAGGAAGATATAGGGGGAGACAATACAAAGGGTGTGTTGTTATACGAGAGAGAGACAGAGAGCGAGAGAGAGAGAGCGAGCGCCAGAGAACAAGAGGGAGATACAGAGAAAAAGAGAAGAAGAGAGAGAGGGCAAGAGAGAGAGAGAGCCCCAGAGAGCAAGAGGGGGAGAGAGAAAGAGCCCCAGAGAGCAAGAGGGGGAGAGAGAAAGAGCCCCAGAGAGCAAGAGGGGGAGAGAGAAAGAGCCCCAGAGAGCAAGAGGGGGAGAGAGAAAGAGCCCCAGAGAGCAAGAGGGGGAGAGCGAGAGCAAAAGAGCGAAAGCAAGAGAGAGCGAGAGCAAAAGAGAGGGAAAGAGAGCGAGAGCAAAAGAGAGAGAGCAAGAGCGAGAGATGGTAGGGTGAATAATCTCCTATGATGACAGCCAGACACGTTGTTTCGTCTCCTATGCGAGATAAATATCAATTACTTAGAGGTTGAGATGTGGGTCTCGTCCTCACACCACACTCACACCTTGACAGCACTCTGGAGAGTGCGAAAGACTTGGTGTAAATCTTTCCATCAATTTCACAAATACTTGTGGGTTTTTAATCCTATGTGATTATGTCTGTGAGAAGACATTACTAATATTAATCATCGTTAATTCTGGTCCTGAATGGCCATTAATTTCTTGGTTAATTATACTCAAAATCAATTCATTTTTTCCCCTTACCCTCCTTCCCCTACACGTGTCTCTCTCTCTCTCTCTCTCTCTCTCTCTCTCTCTCTCTCTCTCTCTCTCTCTCTCTCTCTCTCTCTCTCTCTCTCTCTCTCTCTCTAATTTTGTGACGGTATTAGTGAACGGAAATACTTCGTGGTACGTCTTCAGAGTTTTAAGCGTGAGACGAATCGGTTATTTACTTCGTAAACATGCAGACAATACCTGTGTGTGTGTGTACTCGCCTAGTTGTGCTTGCGGGGGTTGAGTTTTGGCTCTTTGGTCCCGCCTCTCAACCGTCAATCAACTGGTGTACAAGTTCCTGAGCCTATTGGGCTCTTATCATATCTACGTTTGAAACTGTGTATGGAGTCAGCCTCCACCACACCATTGCCTAATGCATTCCATTTGTCAACCATACTTAACTGTGGGTTTTTAATCCTATGTTATTATGTCTGTGAGAAGACATCGCCATTACTCATATTAATCATCATTAATTCGTGTGTGTGTGTGTGTGTGTGTAAATAAAGCTTAATAAATCATCACATACAGAGACTGTTCAAATGAACACCAAATGGAGAACATACCGTATCCTCAGACCTATGATGCATCATAATAGTCCTCGCTGAAATAACTTCAGTCGACCCTCATACGAGGAGCACTTGCTGGCAACACTGCAACACAGACGTGACACAGCTGATCCCATCAAACATTAAAATGCACAACAAGTTTAAGGAAATTAATCCAGACCAACTCTTCAAAGGTCACGCATAACACAAAGGGGCAAGAGTTTCAAGCTCAACAAGCCACAGTGTAGGAGAGAAAACATGTGTTTTCAGCCAGAGTTATAAACCCCTGGAACCGCCTACCCGCCGAAGTCGTAAATGCCAAGACATTACTGCAGTTCAGGAGGGAAATAGGTCGTTGATACCTGCTTGATACCTGCTTGATGGGGTTCTGGGAGTTCTACTCTCCAAGCCCGGCCCGAGGCCAAGCTTGACTTGTGAGAGTTTGGTCCACTAGGCTGTTGCTTGGGTTGCATCCTATTGCTACTACAACCATGCATCAACTCCACCATGGTCATTCACATCTTCCAACATGCAGTGTTGAGGTCATTGGCGATGTGACAATGGACGTCAAATTCACTCGTATGTTTCCTGTGGCTAGTTCCATAGCGCCGTTATCATATACCTTAAAAAAACAAAAACAGGTGAAGGACGCCTGTCTTCTCGGTTAATAATTCAGAGTTCCCCAATCCGTTGCTGGACACATAGGCTGGTAATCTATTATGAAACGCGCTCATAAAGCCAAAGAATCTTCTCGCTTCTCACTAGATCGTCACCAATGACGAATTTCTGAAATATAATTATTGTTAACGAGAGAGCGTCCAGCCTCTGCCAGCATCCTGAGATTGTCCCTGCTCTCAAACTAGTAATTCGGACCTTCGTTCAAGCTCTGCAGAGGAAACACCAGAGTTGAGCTCCAGATATTACAGTGATGATGCTCTCTCTTGATAACATCAGTTAACAGAGCGCAAGACGACAAACCAATCAGACGCGAGAAGGGCTCTTCATGACGTCACAAGATTAGAGGTTAGTGGACACCACTGACCTCCTGATTAAACTTAGCAAAACGAACGAGGAGTGGGGCCCAGTCCCGGTAGAGGCGACATTATTCTCCCTAGACATAGTGTCCCTCTATCCTAGCATACCTCAGAGGGAAGCAGCAACTCTAGTAGCAGAATACTTTGACAGAAATGCCCACAGGATCAGTAGAGACCTGAGGGACGCAGGAATATATAGGCCGCCGTCGAAAAACCTCCTGACCGAGGCGATTCTGCATGTCATGAGGGATACTATCCTAACATTTAAAGGCACAACCTATAGGCAGGTCAAAGGAACGGCAATAGGAGCATCAAGCAGTGTGGCCATCGCTGAAATATTTGTCCATGAGGTCTTTGAATCACAGAGACGAAACCTACAGGTCGGACCTAGAATATATTTCAGGTACATAGATGACATTTTCGGCATCATGTTGGGGCCAGGCAGAAACCTAGACGCCTTCTATACATGGGCGAACACTGTCCACCCCAACCTGCAGTTTACGATAGAGCGGAATACCAGGGAACTAAATTTCCTAGACACAACGATCTACGTAAACCCGGAAACACGCAGACTGGAGACTAAAGCTTACTACTAGCCGTCAAACCTCCACACATACCTGCAGTATGACTCAAGCCACCCGAAGCCACTAAAAAACTCACTCCCGTACTCCCTAGGCCTGAGACTGAAAAGAATAAATAGCAACCCTGGGTCCCTACATGAACAACTAGAAGACCTATGGGAATTTTTCAGAGACAGGGACTACCCAGAGGAAGTACTAAAGGCAGCCGAAAGGAAACTGGGGCAAAAAAACGAGGGAACAACTCCTAACTCAAAAAATGGAGAAAAACCAGGATAGGGATATCCTGGTAACAACCTTCTTCGAAGGGTTTGAAAAACCTCTAAAAAACACAGAGCCAATTGTGGACCTGGCTAGAAGAGAGGTTCGGAGACCACCCATCATGGGGACGTTTCCCAAAAGACCCACCTATGCTAGCCTGGAAGAGGAACAAATCCCTTAAAGATAAATTAGTCTCGGCAGCATTGAAAGACACAAAAATCAACAAGGGAACAGAGTAGGAGAGGCAATTGAAAAACTAGTCCTGGCACAACTAGAAAGCCATCCCAACTACGAGGAAACTAACCACACACCAGAGAACCCAGTAGCGAAGGTAATTAAAAACACATTACCCTCGCACTCCTGGGGATAGGAAGGTAACGGTAGCACACAATGGATTAAGAAAAGGTAGACAAGGGGGAACAAAGTGGTAACATGACACGAGGTTGGGTAGAGACTCATCAATGGAAAACACAAATTTATTTGTTCAAGCTAGGGACAGCAGAACGAGTCTGCACTCGTGGGAACTAAACACGAATGAGTCAGATGTCAAGAACAACTTTGTCAAGAGTAGTGGGATGAGCTAGGCGAAGAAGTATTAGAATCTGAATCATTATACAAGTTTAAAGGTAAAGAAAACGGGAACCGAGTGATTGCACGGAACTTAAACTCTCCGGAAGGCGGGATTAGGAGCTAATGCTCGACCCAGTAAGTACAAGAAGGTGAGTACAGACACGAGCCCCTTGGTGTCTGGGCCAGGGGGGGTAATGACAGCCTAGCTTGTCTTAACAAAGGCCCATAACCCTTCAGGCAAGGTAAAATTACCCCCCTTAGAAATTCTTCACCGTTCGCCTCAATAAGATGACTACGCGGAAAGTCATTTCTGAAACCACAGAATGCAGAGAAATCGCTATGCAAACAAATAATAATAATAAAGAACTTTCTGGTTTAAATAAAGGCATTCATTTTCATACACATATTTTGTGTAATTACATATATTTTGATCTGGTTGATGTGTGACCTGCTCACGCATCAGGAAACTTATCAATGAAACGGGGAGGTAGTAGCCTTGTGCAGGTGTGGAGTGAAGGGTAGTAGCCTTGTGCAGGTGTGGAGTGAAGGGTACTATCCTAGTACAGGTGTGGGGTGAGGAGCAGTGGTACAGGTGTCTCACGAGAATGTTCTAAAAGTGCAGTAAGCACCTGTAATATCATGCTGTAATATTATGCTTCACCACTGCATGCTGTAACTAACAAAGCGTTCCCGTTGGCAGGAGCGGCGGTGGACCAGCGGTGGCAGGATGTGAACGGTGCCCAGCGCAGTACCATGGCCCAGGAGTTCCTCCCGCTCTGCGATGTGCTCTTCAACATCATCTCGCTGGCGTCCTACTTCTGTGATGTGGTGTTTGACGTGGTCACCATCTACACCCTGTACGACCAGCAGGAGGTGGTGTGGTTCGCGCTGGCGCTCTCCTGTGTGCTGCTCTCCCTCGTGGTGTGCCAGATGTGTTCGCTCAAGTGGTATCTCTCCAGTCTCCGGAAGGACCTGGCCAAGAAGGACTGCGATCTGGGCATTATGCTCTTGCTCCATTTCGTCCAGGGAGGCGTCCTTTGGCGCTACTTTAAACTCTTCATCCCCGTGGATCTTCGCTACGTCAAGCATGAGGTTCGCGACTTGTGTATGCTGCGACTGATCCATGCCTTCTGTGAGGCAGCCCCCATGTTGCTCATTCAGCTGTATCTCATATGGCGAAAACCCGCGCTATCTGATCTAACAGACCTGAATATTGTGTCGACAGCATTGTCGCTCTTCAGCGTGTGCTGGGCCTTGGCCTCCTTCAACAAGAACGTGCGGCGGCATAACGTTCATCGCCTGATACTGACGTGGTTAGGAGTTATATTTCAGTTCATCTGGCGGCTTGGGACCATAACCTCCCGCTCGCTGGCACTCACCGTGTATGCAACGCTCTACGGGTACTGGGTTTTCCTCGTCATTGCCCTCCATTGGGTCTCCATGTTCCTTTGGCTCATCTCTCCCAAGAATGTCTTTCACGGTGAAAAGATGCCCTTGTTTAAGAAAGTGATATTCTCCATGTTAATCGCCTTCTGTTACATATTCTGCTACATCAACTTGCAAGAAATCAACGCCCGGCAGAAGATGGTGGCCTTCTACATCACCATGCTGCTAGAGAACGCCCTCCTGGTGGCGGTGTGGCTGGGGGGCCTGAGGTCCACGCCCTGGTACCAGTACCCTGTCACGGCCCTCGTCTTCATCGCCTTCGGGTTCGGAGTGGTGTTCATGATCTTCTACTACCAGCACTTTCATGTCAAGCGGCTCAAGCACAACTACACCATGTCCTCCTCCATCAACACCTACTCATCGTGTACAGGTACTGGCCATGTTCTCTAACTTTGTGTACAGGTACTGGTAGGTCCTGGGCAAACTTTCTAGGGTCACGTCCTGGTAGGTCATGTTCTCTAGGTTCACATTTAAGCAGATCTTAGTCGTATTCTCTAGATTATTTCTATAACGTATCTTGGAATTTTCTTGGTTGTTTAGTCTGGAGCTTTCTTTTTTAATTTGTTTGGTGCTTAAAATTTAAATAAATTACTAATAAAAGTAATTTATCCTACACAATCAAACCATTAATAATAATAATAATAATAATAATAATAATAATAATAATAATAATAATAATAATAGCAAAATTAGGACATGAAGGTGGATTATGTTCTGTATAGGATGGTAAATACCAAAGATTTCAGCACGTAAGAAAATAATGCTTTTTTTTCAAGTTATACCATGAGGTCATTACCACTGCCCAGACAGTGTGTGGCACCGTGTAGCAGCCCAACATGTGGGGGAGTGATGACCACCATATATTATTGTATTCCATGGGTGTTTGGTACAACATTTGGATATAAGACGCATCGTACACATAACTTTACCCCCAACTAACCTAACCTAACCCAATCGAGCCTGACCTAAGCTAATACATCTGAACCTCCCGATATTTACTACTGTGTTTAGGTAGCAATTATAGTTTGTGTATAATTTGACCTTGTCTCCAACATACAGGTCTCACTTAGTGTATATATATGGATGTAATCATTTATTTAAAGCTGCTGTTCTTATTCTTAAACAGTGGCTACATTGTCTCCATGTTTTAATAGTACTTTTGATCATCTCGCAGAATCTTGTGCTCTTAGAAAGATGTTAAGACGTGTACACTAGTGCATACATGTAATGCTTTATTATTGAATTTGTATTTTCATGACGGAAAGTCAAATAATTTGTTATATCTATGTTTGGAAATTCAGATAGCGACTTTAACCTAGTTGTGAAACATTACAGGATGTCAGCTGGGTCAGTGTACAGACAAGTCACACCGCATGCCTTTCCCATACTACCTGAACGAGCTGTCGGCGAGCGACAACAGCACCATCGCCTCCAACCCTCAGCAGAATGGTAACGCCAAGCCCAATAACCTGGAGACCAGCGAGGCGCGGAATCAGCAGCAGCAGCCCTGCCACTACCCGCCGGACGCCCTCCACGTCCCCGGCGTCTTCACTTGCCGCTTCAACCCGGGCATTAAGAGGAAGAAAAAAAAGCCGACGAGCTTCGTGCCACCTCCAGTTCCCGTTCTCCCTTCTATAGGCGTGCCAAATAATAATGGTCGTATGGTGCCGTTCTGGAAGCGGCCTTTACCACAGTCGTTGTCAAGTGATCACGAAGGGAGTGTGGGCTCCAGAGTCAACATACAACAGAAGCTGCAGGAGAAGAAGCAACAACAGATTGCTGAATTAAGACAAATCGAAGAAGAGATAAAAGCTGGCAAGTTAAAGCGGCCGCATCCCAGCGATATCTCCGAATCTGGAACGCTTCGTCAACCCATCCCTCGGGCGAAGAAGCAACCGTGGTTGAAGCCTGAACCGCTGGACTTCACATACCTTGTGGTAGAGCCCTCAGCGGCGCCCGTGCCGGCCCCAGCCCACAGAAAACATCGTTCTCAAACGCCAGAGATTCTGCTGGCGCCACATTACCTGGACAACACCAGGATCTACTACGACTACCAGGACCCTCGGTGGAAATACGGAAACAACTACCACCTTCCCTCTGATGACATGAGCGGCTCCAGTCACTCCAAACACTCGATAAAAAGACGCAATAGAAAGGGAGATAAAAACACGGACAATAGAGACAAAGTTATTTATAAGTCTTACAGAATACCATCTGATCTCGATAGTCAAATATCGCTACCGAGGTCTTATACTCTTCCCAGAGAATTCAAATATTACAGAAGACCCAAGTCGAGAAAAGCTGTGAGAACTGACCACTTCATGGCGTCGACAAACTCCAGCGATGGTACGTTTTATTTTGATCGTTGTAATGCAAATGCTAAACATCTAGTGAACAAATCCGCAAGGGCCATGACGAGGATTCGAACCTGCGTCCGGGAGCATCCCAGACACTGCCTTAATCGACTGAATCTAAACATCTAGATTAATCTAATGCTAGTATGTTGTTGTAAGAATGTAACAAGCTGTATTAATTGCATTAAAATAAAGGTTGATGTACCATGAGGTATTGTGCGACGCACGAAATCTGTCATCGTCTTGCTCAAGAACGTGTTCACAGCTCAGGTGAATAAGTTCACACACTATTGATCCCGTCAGTGCGAGATGGTCACTAATGTTGCTAAAATGTTGTGCAGATATGATAATTAATAATTCATTGTGTCGTGGGACAGGCAACCAGTTTACACATGCAGTATATATGTTAGGCTTATATTGAGGTCTTTCTCCCCCCCCCTCATTGAGAACGAACTAGTCTGTACCGCCGGAAGCCTGTAACCTTAATAACCTGTTGACCAGACCACACACTAGGTGAAGGGACGACGACGACGTTTCGATCCGTCCTGGACCATTCTCAAGTCGATTGAGAAAGGTCCAGGACGGACCGAAACGTCGTCGTCCCTTCACCTTCTAGTGTGTGGTCTGGTCAATATACTTCAGTCACGTTATTGCGACTCATCGTCTGCACCTTAATAACCTAATCAGAGTGTATACAAGGTTTCAATATGTTTATTACTCTTTGTTTTGCGTTTAATTATAATTACCACATACTGTAATTATATTTCCGGTGGTTTTGTAGCAAATACAGTGAACAAAATTTCATGAAAAATTAAAGTTTTGAAGTAAACAAAGGTGCTACAATTTATTTCGTACGTTCACACTACTCAACCTCTCTCGCTCCCACAGGTGATGTCGATTCCTGCGACGAAGGAGACTTGGAGAAATCTCTGAGTCGACTCAACAACGCCGTCCACTTCCACCTCAACCACAGCCACCACCACCACTACCACCACCACAGCTTCCTCCACAATCACCACACCAACCACGTAGCCGAGTCTCCACCTCATCCGCAGCACCCACTTCGGGCGCGCATTCACGCGGCGTTCCACCGCAACTTGGCCAACACTCACGAGACGAAGTTGTGAGGCGCGGTGAACTCCCCCCGGACAAAAGACAGTCACAGTGGCGGCATCTCGCGGCCCAGGAAGCTCAGTGTAAATCACGACCCGTGTGAGTACCACTCGTAGGAGCTCAACTTGAAGAGAAGGTACTCACAAGGTGTAAACAATGGTCTCATTCACTCAGGCTGACCACCTCAAATTGGACGTGTTTATGAAAAAAAAACAATCGCAAGCCTGTTTTCAAATGAAGGAAAGATCTTTTCAATGTGTGTGTGTGTGTGTGTGTGTGTGTGTGTGTGTGTGTGTGTGTGTGTGTGTGTGTGTGTGTGTGTGTGTTTTAATTGTGTGAATACAATTACTATCATTTATCACACAACAAATATTACAGAAGCTGTCTTAATTTTATATGGTGTGCAAATTTCAGATTGAAAATTCAAAGGATGCAGTTACAGGTGTTAATAGGGATTTCGATTTATTTTCCACAGAAATGTGCAATAGTGTCTGTGTACTCCAAGCTTCGACAAATGAAGTGATTGTTTAATGTGCCCAAAATTGTTCTTTGCCAAATCCAATAATATGCGCGTTATATATTGGGTTATACTTGTGTCTTCTTCTGTCTGTTGTAGTATATCGTCAGTATTATACTACACTATACTAAAGAACACTATACTATACTATAGAACAACACATGTCATGATAACAAGACCAGGATGTGTGCCGTGGTGTTCAGTCCTTTAGTTTAGTGTTTTGGGACATTAAAGTGTTCCTGAGCACTAAAGTGTGCTCAGGAAGCCTCAATGCTCAGAGTATTTTTAATTCAGAAACTTGCTTTTTTTTTATTTACCTTAGGCCCAAAGCCTATAATACAGATGGGGTCTTTTCTGTGACTTAGTTTTTTGGGGAGGTTTAAAGAAATTACAATGATTCAGGTTGCATCTTAGTGGTCTTCGTGATCTTTTCGAATTACTAAAGACCTTTGAAACGGTTCTAGATCGTCTTTTTAATATCTTTGATACATTCAAATATGTTTACCTCTCACGTATTTTCATATTGTGTAAGGTCTTTTTAAAAGTTCATTAGTCTTTCCAAAAGTCTTTGTGCCATTATAGTTCAATCTGGCCCCTTTTTCATGTTTATTCCATTTTTCTAGCCACGTTTGAGTCAGTTTTAAGATTGTTCTTCGTTTCCAAATGTTCTCAGCATATTCAATGAGTTCTAAACCCGTCTGATTAAACCGATTCTTCTACAGGGCGTCGAATATTGAAGTTCTGCAAGTCCTCCTTCTAAAAGTTTCAAAGACATTCTTGAACTCCTAAGTGTCAGTAGAGATTATAAGTTCGTGTAAGGCATCCCTAAACCCATCCAGAATTTACATGCCCTACAAATAATTGGTTCTCGATTAGATATTCCCCCGCGTGTGTTATATTCTCTAGAACTTCAGTTGTATTTAGCGATCCGAAAACCTTTGCAAAGATCCACGAACTTGTCTAAAAATCGTGACACATTTTAATGACCCCAACACATCTTAGATAACCCAAATCCTTACTGAGATTTCTATATTTGATTAAAGATCGTGGCACTTTGAGATTTTAGCCTATTCTAAATTTTCCGAGGGGGATTTGTAGATATTTATAGATCCTTATCGTGATTCTCAGAGCCTCTTAGAAATCCCCAGATCCAGATGGTGTTTTAGTAATCCCAAAATCCCATAGATCCCCAAATTACTTCAATTTTTTTCTGCCTGCTACATGAGGCCACCATCTTCTGTGACCCAGACGGAGATAGGAATCTAGCGGGTTGTCTTAGCTACTCCGTTGTTCCAGAGGATCTCTTTCCAAATGAAGTTTGAACTGTCTCGGCATTCTTGGTTTCGTCGAGGTGATTCCCAGGGCTTAGTAACCCATGGGTGAAAAAGCATCTCCAGTTTTCTGTCCTACAGTGTGGCTTGTTGAGCTTGAAATTGTTTTCCTTATGTGTGAGTTACTTTGTACCTTTCAAAGATGTGGCTTGGATCAATATCTTCTGAGATGAACCCTGTCGTGATTGGTTTGAGGTGTTGTAAGTCATGGGGTCCTTAACCATTCCTGTTATTAGAGTTAAATTGAGTTTTAAGATGAATTTTGTCATTCTATATCTTTTTAAATAACCCCAGATCCTTGTAGAGCTTTCTTTGTCTTCCTGATGGTCCGCAGTTTCTTCCAGAAATCTCCTAGATCATTCTCAGATTCTACAGATTGTTTTAGAGTTTCCAAGTTCTGTAAATTGCTAGAATCTCTAAATATTCCTTGAAGCTTTTGGCCAGCCATGGGGTGTTGTAGCCCTTCGTCTCCTCTATGACCACTGTCATCATGGCTACTCATCACTTCACCCCAAAGTTGTCCTTGATCGCAAACGATGATTCACAATACCGTGACCGATGAGACGATGAGCGGACCGAAACGTCGTCGTCGTCGGCTCATCTTCCGGTGTGTGGGTTAATCATCATGTCCTTGATTGCTTTCTCACGGTTCAAGATTGCAACTCCTGGTCGGCCGAGCGGACAGCACGCTGGACTTGTGATCCTGTGGTCCTGGGTTCGATCCCAGGCGCCGGCGAGAAACGATGGGCAGAGTTTCTTTCACCCTATGCCCTTGTTACCTAGCAGTAAAATAGGTACCTGGGTGTTAATCAGCCGTCACGGGCTACTTCCTGGGGGTGGAGGCCTGGTCGAGGACCGGGCCGCGGGGACACTAAGAAGCCCCGAAATCATCTCAAGATAACCTCAAGATAACCTCCTTATTGTAGGGGTATTTGGGCTGTGCTCACCTTGTAAGACAATATGCCATATCTATCTATGGGTTAATGTTCACTTTAGAAGTAAGTTGCAGGAAGTAATTACTTGCATAGTAGTAGGCATCCGCCCGTCTCAGGAGACTATGGACTTCAATAAAGACGTTGGTAATATACGTAGCGTATTTAGTACTCGCTCAGGCCATTAAATATATGAAATAATATCTGTTTACATGACATTTCATTCAAGATACTGATTCATTTAATGCATAGAACGTATAGTTTTTTGTTGAGAGTTGACACTTGTTAATTGTTCATTAATTGCTTACGCTTCCCCCGTCCTGGCAATAACTATTGTTAGTCTGGAACACTGACTCAAGGCTAAACATGGGCATGAGATTATAACCTGAGAACAGTTTGTAATAAGAATGGGATTAATGTCTTGAAATCCTGTATGAAAATAATCGCTCTGAATTTATGAATAAATATGGAATATCTCCGTATATTCAAGACGTTATTTAATGAAACGCTTTTACACTTCAATTAGCTTGAATTATTGACAAAGTTGTGAAAGTTTTTCCCTTTATGATGCACAAGAAATACTTTCTACTTTCAAGTAAGCATTAAGTAGGCGTTGTCACACGTTGTAGAAGTAGATCCTATGGCAACATTTTGTACTCATCTTGCACTGGGGTCCTCGAACCAGACTCACCAGTCACTAGATCTTATTTAATATCTCGCAAAAAATGCGATGTATCTACGAGAAAATATTGGAAGCTGTACAATGGGCTCGAACCTGCGTCCCTGGACGCCTCAAGCACACGTGCTGTACCGACTAGACCATGATGGGCTAGAGTACTGAAATATGTGTTGGCCATCATGGTCCAGTCGGTTAAATAGAGTTCATACAGCTTCAATATTTTCACTAGAACTTGCACTGAATAAGGGTCTGCGCTTGGAGAATCTTGCAAAGGAATCTTGCGGCTGTGTGCTGGGGGAATTAATGAATGTGATAAGACACGCATCTGTAAACACTCCAATCACTAGGGATTGGAGTGATTCTCCAATCACTAGGGAGTGGATTAAGGCTGACAACATCGCTCCCCCATTACCCCACCCCTGTCAGCCATTCCCGCCAGCCCGGTAATGGCCGTGCTGTCCTGTGCCATATATTACTGACACTTTTTGGGAGCAGATGACCAGTATATTTCCTATTATATTCACTCAGGTATCCATCATTCACATGCAGGCATTTCAGACCTTACTATAGGCGGCATTCCTTGTTCTAGCGGGCCCGGCGTGGCGCCAGCCCGCCCTAGAGGTCTCTTGCGACGCAGCGCCTCGCTGCCGTCGTAGGGGCTTACCTTATGGGGTGACCTCACGGGGTTACCTCAAGGGTTTACCTCACGGGGTTACCTCAAGGGTTTACCTCGAGGGGTTACCTCACGGGGTTACCTCACGGGGTTACCTCAAGGGGTGACCTCAAGGGGTGACCTCACGGGGTTACCTCGCGGGGTTACCTTACGGGATTGTCAAGTTTTCACTCAAATACTTTCAGTCGAGAAATGTGCAAATACAGTATTTTATAGTAGGTAATAGAAGTTAATATATTTATTGATTAGATGTAGGGTAGTTTGTGAAATAATAAATATGTTATTGGTTATTAAATGCCGTGAAAGATAAGCTGACAAATATATAATTGTGTGTATAATTCATTAAAGATTATTGTTTGTGTGGTGGGAGCTGGCACAGTGTCCCTGGTGTGTGTGTGTGTGTCGTGTATCCTGTGTGTCCGGTGGGTCGTGTAGCCTGTGTGTCGCACGTTAAGACGTTGCTGTAAGGTAAACGGCCTTAAGACGTTTGCCTTAAAGCCTATTTGTCCGACGTAACACGTCGTGACAGATCTACACTTAAGACGTGTATAGGTCGTGTCCGTGTTCGGATGTTGTGATCTGTGGTCCAGTACGTGTGTGTAATTATTGTTACAGATTATTTATTTTGGTATTTTTGTAATGTGGGAAGCCCAGACCAGAGTTTCTCTCTCTCATCCTGTCCCATGTTGACACCTGTCCGTGTTGCTGTGGCCCCCCTGTGCTCACACGCATCTTGTCCGTCTTCTGTTATGTATAAACTGCAATGCACATTTTTGTATCTCTGGGTGCTGTGAGGGGTGGAAATTTATGTTTATTTCTTGTGAGGCGTCAAAGTCATTTCTCTTTGCACATGTTTTGTAGGGAATATTTATTTACCGCTTTGTGTGTGTGTGTGTGTGTGTGGCGTAGGAAGATTTGTGTGTGTTTTTTGTGTGATGTGTGGAGAAAGTCAACGCCATGCCTGTCTTGTGTACTGTAGAGAACTTGTGTGTGCTGCTAGGGATCCTTGTAGAGTTCCTGTCAACTCCGTGCGATTTTTGTGTAGGTAATTTGCATGTAACGTCCGTGCATTGTCTGGACTTTGAGTGTGATACATGTAAGTGTTCTAGGGAAGTATTTATGTATTGCTTGGTTGTTGAGTAGAGAATATGTGTATTCTGCCTTGTGGTCTTGTGGCAGGGACTTTGTGCTCGCCTCGGGCCGAGGTAGCCGCCCTTGTGCTCGCCTCGGGCCGAGGTAGCCGCCCTTGTGCTCGCCTCGGGCCGAGGTAGCCGCCCTTGTGCTCGCCTCGGGCCGAGGTAGCCGCCCTTGTGCTCGCCTCGGGCCGAGGTAGCCGCCCTTGTGCTCGCCTCGGGCCGAGGTAGTCGCCCTTGTGATACAGTCACTGGCCAGGAGATTGTGCTGCCTACTGTGTATAGTGAAGGGAGTTTCTTCATTACTTTCTGCTCAATTAACGGCTACCGTTATACACCATCTTCTTCACTGACATTCATCATGCTCTCGACCATCATACACCGCGGGCCCTTTACCTCCATACACCACGCTTTTCACTGCTGTTCATGCCTCACAACCATTCATCACCAGAGCCACATAGCTGCCTCCTTCACAGGTGTCTACACAACTGCCTTGTTCACAGGTGTCCACACAGCTGCCCCCCTTACAGGACAGGTGTCCACAGCTGCCCTTACAGGTGTCCAGGACGTCTGGGTTATACTGAGACAACACTGATACCAGTAGACATTCTGGTACCTTCCCCAGACTTAACAACAAATAATATAACCCTAATATATTATTTACATAATTGTTTACAATATTAATGGGGACTGTGCATGATTAGATTTTTGTAAATGTTTTCAATGTAAATTTTTTATGTACATAGAATTATTTTGATACATATTTCGAATTTCACTACGTGAAAATGTGCAGAGTTTTTTTTATTGTATAAGTATAATATATATAAATCTTCAAAGATCATCCTGATTATTTTTCTAGCGATTACCTTCCATATATCAGTAAGGGCACCATGCAAGAATGGCGTTTGTTCGACGGTGAATCGACGCTCAAGACGTTTATATGGTTAATGCGTTTATTACACTAGTATTATATAACAGACTAGCGTAATAAACGGATTTATACACAGAGCCCCTTTGCTCACTTTTCCGACTGGCGAACACCCACAAGGAACTGGGCAGAAGCCTTCAAGTATTAGCAAACAACGGGTACACGAACTGAGAAGTCAATACCCATATCAGAAGATATTTTAACAAAAATGTGGTATAACAGAGAAGAATAACAGCAACAGCAAACAACTCCTCCCATAAAACTCGATTACAAGTCCACTATGAGCTCACAATACCAACTTGAAAGAATAATTAAAAATATAATTTCAGATTTCAGGTAGTACGACTTAGGTCACTTGTGGGTAAATAAAACTCTCATGAAGTCCCTCAAGATATACTTGTAATCTGTAATCTTTGTTTTCCTCATCAAAGCACTAAATACAATTTAACGGGGCTGGGGAAAGAAGAAAATATTATTTTGCATTCAAGCAACAGCTTTTTATTTTCGTCTCTAAGGCTATTAACCAGATATATATATATAGGTGGATTGTGTATAGCATCGGTGTACACAAAGACAAATTTTGGTATTAAGTGGAACGTCGTAGTGTCGCAGTAAGTGGAACTGCAAACTATTTTGTCGTAAATGGAGTTCCGCACTAGCAAGTGTTGCCTGCCTCCTCCTGCAACAGAGAAGGAATCATGCACAGCTTCTTTGCCACCAATGACACGCACGCAGCGTGACATCGTCCCTAGGAGGAGCGTCGTACGCAGCGAATTAAGCCTTTAGTAGGGAACGAGGCGTTGCATCTTACATAGCGTAGCAGATAAGGTCGCGTCGATCATAGCCGGTGACAACATAGCCAGAGCCCAGGTGGTCCGTGAACGCTCCGCCGCACAATGCCGTGTTCTCCTCGCTCTGGGTGTACTTGTGCTCCACCTGCCAGGGGGATAAAGGAGAGTGTGTCAGTGGCAGACCTACATGGCGCCATTCGCGTGGCACTGGGCCATGGCTCTCTGGACATTTGCGTGTCCATATACTAGGTCTGTGCCTCTTTACCATGGCGGCTTAGTTAGTAGTTACTATAGGCTACGAGCGCTATGAGATCGTTCTTTATTACTTGTAAACTTGGGTCGAGGACGAATAGTGTTTAAGACTTGAGCAAATTTTCACCAACTGACGTCATTCTACTCTTTTTAAGTAAACCTAGCCTAACCCAACCTAATCTAGCCTAGCATAACCTAACTTAACCTAACAAAAATAAGAAAAATTTGGTTGTATTTTATGAACAGTGTGAGACGTCACTATATTGTCATAACTTTATCACAGCTGAGAATTAAAATTCAGATTCTTCTGACTGCCTCCATGATGGAGAAAAGAGGCACAAATCACATAAGTGGACACTTAAGTGCTCTGTGAAGCTTGGCTAGTCGGTGCTCTTCCGTTACAATGTTATTCCAAGATGTTTGCTTTATATTTTCGTATTAGAAAAATTTAGATTAAAAAAAAAAGAGGAGAAAATTTATAAATATATATATGAAGTACGTCAAAGTTGAAGATGAGCTGTGAGAAGCTAACTTCCCACAGCTCACGGGGGAAGTTAGGGAAGGGGTGGGAGGGACATCAAACTTCATGGGGCAAGTTTGAAATGGGGAAAGTTCTTCATGTGTGGAAGAACTTTCCCCCATGAAGTTCTTTCCCACTTCATGGGAGGAAGAAGTAACTCTGACTTCTGGGAATACGTTAACAGAAGTCAGAAGTCGTCTATTCGCGTACCTACCAGCTTAAAATACTAAACAAAATAGCTGAGGGGTAATACTGACTGGTAGGCTGGTGTCGGGGTTCAGTTGCCACACTCTGACGAAGGTGTCCTCGCTAGTCGTCAGTACCAAACCTGTCTCCTGCGCCACATCCATACCCGTGATGCTCCTGACGTGGCCACACACCTGCAGGGTAATACCTGACTCAGTTGTTTCCATTAACATGGCTACAGTCACATTTATATGGTAACTGTGAACTATATGAAGGGTTACGTAGGTTATGTCAAGACCTTCCTCAACCCATTGTATCTTCCTGTATATAAATAAATAAACCAGTAGTTTGATGCTATGCGTATTAGTGGCTGCCAGAAATGTATCATTTAATCAGGAAAATCTGTACTGACGCAAACCCCATCTCGCACGATTATCTGTGGCATTGAGGCACGCAATCAGGAAGCCATCGCTAGCATCATTTTAAATTATGAGGATATCTTAGAAAACACAATGATGAATAGAGTCATTTGCAGAGCTCTTAGTTGCCTCATACTGGGTGGGCTATTGACTAGACGGAGCCCCATATCCTGTTCAGCACCATAGAGTCCCCGTTTACGTATAAGAGCCCTTTGCTCTTTTTTTAAGTATTAAATTAGATCCTCGTTTTCTCTTTAGTATATTAGCTCCCGTTACTTGTATCCTAGCACGTCGTTACTTGTGATTCCAGAACGTTGTCAACATCACAAGCAACTCCAGCAAGGTAGCCAGCAACTCTGATGTGGTTGGCTAGTCAACTGACGACACTGACCTCGGCGACAATCTGGCCGTTGTGGAGGTTGAAGATCCTGAGGTGGCCGGACAGGTAACCGGCCAGCACCAGTCCGCCCCACGCTGCCAGACACGTTACTTCAGCCCTGTGTGCAGACCAGTCACAATAACGTGGCTGAAATATGTTGACCAAACCACACACTAGAAAGTGAAGGGACGACGACGTTTCGGTCCGTAAAAAAAATCGACTTGAGAATGGTCCAGGATGGACCGAAACGTCGTTGTGCACGATTAAGGCTGAACAAAGATTCATTTGCCAATTTAGATTCATTTGCCACAGTAGGATGTGATGAGGCTGAATTATAATAGGCTATGCCGAGGCTAATTTATAGAAGGCAATGACAAGTCTGATCTATTGTAGGCAATTTTGAAGCTTAACAAACTGTGCTATGATAAAGTAGAGCTACAAATACACTGGGCAAGACAGTACTCGACCTGGGGACATGAAAGTACTCGACCTAGAAGCATAATCACATCGCCAGTGCTCCTGAAGGTGGTCTGAAGAAGCTGGCGTCTGCACTCACCCGTAGGAATCAATCGAGCACATCTTAGTGAGGCCGTTGTTGTCTTGGGCGATGACAATGTCACCAGCGTCGTCTCCGCTGGCCAGCACCTGCCCGTGGGAGGCCAGGGCGGTGACGGGGCGGGCGTGCCACCTCAACCTCTCCTGGGCGGCCATCTCCCCGTCCTCATTAACGCTGATTACCAAGATCTCTCCAGTGTGGACTCCTGGGTAACCACAAGGTGTAACATTACATGTACTGTTTATAAATATTGATCAAAAGTACACACACACACATATACCCTCGTGCACAACAACACAAGTACATATATAAGCTCGCACGCAACACATGCACACATATACTCTTATATACATGTTGTTGTTATAGATTCAGCTACTCGGAATAAGTTTCAAGTCGCACGAGCTATGGTGAGCCCGTACCTTATCTGTCAAAGGAACGGGGCAAGTAGCACGGGTTATGGTGAGCCCGTAGTGGACTTGCCTGGCACAGGAGTGGTGCTCTTGTATACAACAACGCAGGCACATATATACGCTCTCAAGCAACACATGCATACATATACACTTCCTCACAGCAAATCCATTAACATGAGAAATCACACCCCCCTTTCAAACCACCTGGAGCTAGATATTTATGATCATCTGAAAGGATATTACGGTTCCGATAATAGTCTATGTGTAAACTGGCAAATAAATCTTTGTCATAAACAGAGATTATCCTCAAGTTATAATGTTATTGTATTATAAATTGTTGTTTTAAAATATAAAAAGTATATGCTGAAAACGTTTTCTTTGAAGAATTTAATTTTCTGTACACAAAATTCTCGGGCACACTGAAATAGTTTTCGAATTCCACATTTCACATTATGTCAATAATACACAGTATTAACGTCACCGAACGTAATGAAACCTAACCTAACCAAACCTGAATCTAATGTAACCTTAACCTAACCAAACCATGGATAGAAAGTAGATAATAGCACTAATTATGTGGGTGTTCCAATACATTATTCCCTTCAACGGATCTCCTCCCTATAAGGACAGGTTAAGTACACAACACATATATACGCTCGTACACAGCAGACATATATTCTAGACATGCCTAAAGGATTTGTTATATTTTGATGTTTATTCTGTTTACAAAAGTTATGGTAATGGAAACAACTAATATGCTCCGATCCCTCGATCGTCGTCGGACCGCAATCAACAACAAAAAATTTACTTTAAAGAATTTAATCAAATATACAGGTCTATAGATCTATACCATTTGACACATTCACTCATTTATTGAGATTCTGTCACCGATAATATCTATTGTTGTTGTGAGTTTAGGGGGTAATTTCATTAAATTAGGAAAGTAAACATAACAACGCGCTTACCAACACATATGTATCCGGTGTAAAGAGCCGCAATGCCCTTGGTGAAGGCGAAGGGCGCGTCCGGGGGCGTGGGCGGCAGGAGGTGGGCGTGCAGGAGCACAGAGCCGTCCCAGTCATAGATGAGAACACCCTTGGTGGTGGCCAGCACCAGCAGCAGCTGCCCCCGTACTCTCACCCACGACGCCTACAGCACACAATACTTGTACATAGTGCAGGGTGCAGCTGTCTTACGCCCAGGGGCCAGATTCACGAAGCAGTTACTTATGAACCTGAGCATCTTTTCTCAATCTTTGGCGGCTTTGTTTACAATTATTAAACAGTTAATGAGCTCCGAAGCACCAGGAGGCTGTTTATAACAATAACAACAGTTGATTGGCAAGTTTTCATATGTTTGTAAACTGTTTATTAAATGTAACCAAAGCCGTCAAAGATTGAGGAAAGATGTACACGTTTGTAAGTGCTTGCGTAACTGCTTCGTGAATCTGGCCCCAGGAGTCTGCATACTGATATGGGAATAGAGGCATCAAGTGAAAGAAATTATGTTTGTTTCTGCCCCCGGGAGGGAATCACATCCGGGCCTGTTAGACTACGACTCCCGAGCGCTGTCCACTTGACCGCCAGGATCAGTGAGTGTCTGTGTGTGGGGGTGGGTGGACAAGGAAGTCTATAAAACACACGTACATTGCAATATATATCAGTTACAGCCCCGCTCCTGTGCCAGGTAAGTCCACTACGGGCTCACCATAGCCCGTGCTACTTTGGAACTTTTGTTCTAAGTAGCTGACTCTAAAATAACAACAACAGCAATATATATGATATATATATAATATAGCAATATATATGATACATATATCCTGCATATATACAGGTCTGCATATGCAGGCGATGAGTCACAATAACGTGGCTAAAGTAAGTTGACAATCGACTTGAGAATGGTCCAGGACGGACCGAAACGTCGTCGTCCCTTCACCTTCTAGTGTGTGGTCTGGTCAAGATCTGCATATATATACATACACCCTCATGGTGTTCCTGCCTAGAGGAACACCATATGTTCGTCTCTACCTATGAGAGAAAAGTGCGAGGCTTTTAAAGTTCAGAACCCGGTATATATTTTATTTTACTCTCACTGTCAACTTTATTTTCCCTCTTTCCTCTTCCACACAGCCAGAAATGATGTCTTCTGTAATACTTTACGGGCCAGTTTTTGCCAAGGAAAACATCGATAACAAAATTATCTAAAGCTTTTGTCTTTATCTTTATCTCGCCCGTGATTTACACGCATTAGTACCGTCAGTCTAAATCAGTGAAGTCAGTGTTGATCATAGATAGCAACATGTGGAATTAGTGCACCGTAAGTCCATTGCTACACCTAGAACACAAACTCTGTAGGACAGGTGGACTACTGGCCTACAGGTATGCAGGACAGATAGACTACTGGCCTACAGGTCTGCAGGACAGGTAGGCTACTGGCCTACAGGACAGGTAGACTACTGACCTACAGGTCTGCAGGACAGGTGGACTACTGGCCTACAGGACAGGTAGACTACTGACCTACAGGTCTGCAGGACAGGTGGACTACTGGCCTACAGGACAGGTAGACTACTGACCTACAGGTCTGCAGGACAGGTGGACTACTGGCCTACAGGACAGGTAGACTACTGACCTACAGGTCTGCAGGACAGGTGGACTACTGGCCTACAGGACAGGTAGACTACTGACCTACAGGTCTGCAGGACAGGTGGACTACTTGCCTACAGGTCTGCAGGACAGGTGGACTACTTGCCTACAGGTCTGCAGGACAGGTGGACTACTTGCCTACAGGTCTGCAGGACAGGTAGGCTACTGGCCTACAGGTCTGCAGGACAGGTAAACAACTGAGTCACGTGTCAGCTGGCAATAGAGCTGATTAACACAGGTGTTGATCACCCAACCTGTTCTATACGGACCACACTGTGTATACATTCACCTAGAATAGATAATATACACACTGTGAGATGTGCTCCGCTTCTCAGTTGAATATACACTGAGAGTTCACACTCTACAACTATGTTCAGGACTACAGTGTTCTTGCTGGTTGTTCAGACCGATATTGTGGCGGCCTTAATAACATTCCAGAGGAAGACAAGACTTTAACGCTAAACTAAACAAAACACCATTCCTGTTTTGTTTTGTTTTGAGACGGGGGAATGGGAGAGCTCTCAATAAGTGCAGTCTCTGTGGTGCACTCGTGTTTTCATAATGATAGTTTGTAACTCATCTTCAATGTATATACCTTTACCTGAATAAAAAATCTAAATCTAAATCTAAATCACAACATGCACCCAGACTTTCTGCTTCACAGATATGAGAGTTATTTTGTTCCTTTCAGAATAACGGTATACATACATATCTTTTTTCCGAAAGTTAATGCATGTATAACTGATAAGATAGTGTGATTGCGTCTGTTGACAGTTTTCCTTATCATGATGAATATTACCTTGTCATGACCAGGTGGTATACTACTCAAGCCTCTTTATTTTCTAATGACGGACACGTTTCTATGTTACAAACAAGCTGGTGTACCCTGTGGTGCCCAGCTTACATAGCCAATAACTTAGCATTAAAAGCCTAATGAATGTCTATATTTGTTTACGCCAGAACGATGAACCTTACGGACAATATTTAGGGGTTACTAATATCGAGATGCTGGTCAGTAATTAACGAATCACGTCGTCTTAAGGGGCCTGTAACGACAACCCAACGGTCAAATGCCTGTACCCAAACCTCCCAACCCATTTGGTAATCAGCGCGGAGGAGAAATTAGGCTGTGATCCCACTTTCCCAAAATGTCTTCCCACTTCTTGC